ATGTGCGGTACCTTTTTATGAATTTGAGCTTTGGTTTACATTTTCTCCCATTCTGTTCAGACCTTCTGTTTTTCCCCTTGTTCAGAAAGCGCAGTACTGCTAGCTGGGAACCATCTAGTTTTTCCTGGTGTCATTTTGTGGTTCATGGAAGCCATTACTCTGTGGATAGATTTCTTCTGTGACTGTGGCTTTCTTCGCTGTGTTGTTACTGGTGGGAAGAGACTAAGAGCTGTGTCTTTGGTTCTCTTCTATGTCTTTGTTGTCTGTGCTTTTGGTAAGGAGTTGCATTGCCAGTACAAAAGAAGGCAGTTTGAACCCACCAGCTGCTTCATGGGAAAGAGATGGTCAGTTTTCTCCTTGTAATTTACTGCCTTTTATGATTCACTGGAGAGCCAGTTAGTCAGTTCTCTCTGTAGTACATAACAACAACAGTCGTTATGCCTACATTTTCCGCACCCATCTAGGCTCTTGGAATTGTCTTTCGATTTGCTCTCCGTCCAATCTTTCTCTCTCCCCACACTCCACTCCTACTCCATCTTATAACCTGCTCCAATTGAACTCTATTTTTTAATTTTTTTAAAAATTTTATTATTTCTGTGTGTGTGTGTTACCATCAAATCAGATCTGACTGGTACAGGAGGAGATTGCCCCACCTCCTGCAGAGCATCTGGTGGATTCGAACTGCATACCTCTAGGTTTGCAGTGCAGCTTCTTGCCACTAGGCCACCAGAGCTCCAAATGAACTCTTAAAAATGACAAAGCTTGTTAATTCTTTTACAGAAAAAGAAGAAAATCAATAAAGATATGTGGACATCATAACAACAGCAGGCTCAAACATGGGAACATGTTTTGAGGGTGGTATGGCATTTCACTTTGTTGTATGCCAGGTAACTGAGAAATTATTTGAAACTGACTCAGCAGCGCCTGACAGCAACAACAAAAACACATATAAGGATGGATTGCAAGAAGTAGTTGAAAATGCTCCCCAAAGAATAATCGACATTAAAGCCCATTGTGATCCACACAGTGAATATCACCCAGGGTTCCACAGCCATGGCAGCGTTGTGTGGGTGTGGGGTGGGGTGAGGTGGGGGGACTGGAGGTTAAAACTAAAACCTTTGAGGTTTGCCTCTGGAGAGCCTTTCCAGCCTACTCTCTTTTACAAATCTCTCCTTCTTTGTTGAATTCCATTTGTTCGCACCCACACTGCCCGACCTGAATAATAGAGATAATAATAGTTCCTTACCTAGGGCATTCTGTGTAGATTGAGTGTGTTAATATATCAAGCACTTCTAGCTTTTCTTAAAGGACACAGGATATACTGCTTAACACTTCTAAGTTACCTGAGAAAGCTTAAAAGTAGTTTCATACAATACAAATTTTATATAACTTGATTACATTTGATCTAAAGGCAAGTTTAAAATCTGGTGACATAGTGGGTATCAAGTGCTAACTGAAAAGTCAGCAGTTTGAATCCACCAGCCTTTCTTCAGGACAGAAATGTGCCTCCTTTTTTTGCGAAGATTTACAGCCTCAGAAAGTTTATGGAAGATCTCTATGACTCTCTAGTGATTTGTTGTTGTTGTTGCTGTTAATGTTGGTAATGTGCTATCGATTTGCCTGCAACTAACTCATAGTGACCCTACGTACAACAGCTCTGAAGCCTGCTCTCTCCTGGGCCAGTCTCACTGACTCCAGCACACCTACTGTGTCAATACATCTCATCCAGAATCTCCCTCTCCTGCTCTGTCCCTTCACCATTCTGAGCATGATGTCCTTCTCAAAGGATAGGTCCCTCCAGCCACATGCCCAAAGTATGTGAGATAGAACTTCAAAATCCTAGCTTTCAAGGAAAAATTTGTTTCGCCCTCTCTAAGAGAGCCGCTTTGGTTTTCTTGGCGGTCCATAGTATGTTCAAGACTGTTCTCCAGCAACACAACTCTAAGGCATCAATTTTTTTCCGTCATTTTTACTCATTGTCCAGCTTTCTGATCCATAGCAAGTACTGCAAAGACTGTGGCCTGGATCATGCACACCTTCATCTCTTGACTGACATCATTGCTTCCCAGTGCTCTTGAGAGGTCCCTGACAGAAGATTTACATAATGCAAGTCATCTTTTGATTTTCTGACTGCTGGTGCTAAGAGTGCTGATTGTGGAGCCAAGCAAGCTGTAACTGTTAACCACCTCAATCTCTTCTCCATCTATCATGGTACTGCCAATTGGACCAGTGGTGAGAATCTTTGTCTTCTTGATGTTGAGCTTCAGTTCATATTAAAGACTACAGTCTTTGAGCTTCTGCAGCAAGTATAGAAAAATACAATTAATATAACATGAAAATGAAATCTTGCTAAAGATAATTAGAAAAATGCCTGGCTGCAGCGCACTGACTAGGGAATGTCAAATTTCAGCTAGATTTAGGAAAAGATGTAGAGTGAGGGAAGTAATTAATTGGCTCAGAAGGATTTTGCCTGAAAGCAGAGACTACCAGGAAGGTGTTTGAAACAAATAAAACTCATTACCATCCAGTTGATTTTGACTCCTTGCAACCCTTCTTAATATTTCTAAGGCTTATTACAGCTTTATGGGATGAGTGAGTAAAATATTCATTTTACTCCCATGAAGTATCTGGTAGATTTGAATTCCTGACCTTTGGAACAGTTTCTAAGACACTAGTGTTTTATTAGCTATGCAAAGGCATTTAATTGTGTGGCATGTAATAAGTTATGAACAATATTATAAAAAACAGGAATTCCGGGCCAAGAAGCAGTCATTCAAACAGAAAGACAAGGTGCTATTGTGTGTAGAATTTAAAATCAGGAAAGATGTTTATCAGGACTGTATCATTTTACTATGCTTATCCAGTCTGTGTGTTGAGCACATAGTCTTGGAAACTGGATTATAAAGAGAAGAATGTGAAATTGTTATCGGAGGAAGTCTTATTAACAAACTGCAGTGTGCAAATGACGCAACCTTACAAGAAGGAAGAAGACCTAAAGAACTTCGTGAGGATGTTTAAAGATTGTTTCTTTCAGTGTAGGTTAGACCTCAGCATCGGGTAAAGAAAAAGCCTCACAATTGGACTGATAAGCATGCATTATATTTATTTTTTTTAATCTACAATCAACACCCATATTAGCCACAGTCGTAATCAGTATATTTTAGTTGACAGATCTTCCAAACCTCATCAATGTGGTAAAAGTAAGTTTAAAACCTAAGGTGTGGCTGACATAAACCATGGTATCTTATATCACTTCGTATGGGTCTCAATGTTGGACACTGAGTAAAGACTAAAGAACTGATGCCCTTCACTTGTGTTAATGAAGACTATTGCAAATACATTGAATTACCGAAAGAGCAAGCAATATGTCTGGTAAGGAGTGAAACCACAAAGCTCCTTAGAAGCTAGGATCAGTAAGTTTTGTCCTGTGTACCTTGGGCAAGCCAGTGCTTACAGATAAACATCATGCTTGGTAAATTGAAAGATAATTGGAAAATGAAGAAGACTCATAACAAGATGGAATGACACAGTGAGTGGAACAATGTGCTGGAGCCGAGCAGAGACTGTGGAGAAGGTGCCGAGGAGGCAGACTTGCAGGGTGACGGTGAGTCAGAGCCACTCAAGGCCACTTAACAACAACCTGCTTTCGCCTCAATTTTATTTTTAATAAAATTTATCAATAATGATGTTTAATAGCATGTATTCTCTTTAATGTTATTGTAAACTTGCCCTCACTTTGAAAAGAGTATACCAACCTCTAACAGCAAATTCTTAAAAAAAAAAAAAAAACAACAAATGGAGAAAAGATTGAAATTGGCAGATTTAAGTTTACTTGAGTCCACAATATCTGTGGTAGCAGTAAATTCTTGATCTCAATCATTTTCACTTGCTACATGTTCAACTTTTAAACCATGAAAAAAGGAAATGGAAAGAATTTGTTCAAATTTGTATTCAAATTTTGTAAATAAACTAGTAGAAAATAAAAAAGAAAAAAAATTTAAAAGGCAGTGAGCCTTTTTTTGCACTGAAAAAGAACTACATGTACCTATTTCCTGTTATCTGAAAACTAATCCTGAAAAACTTCCCTAGGAACAGAGCATGTTTATAACCCAAGGACTTCTATAAAAGACTTTTTAAAAAAATCTGTGCTTACAGTTTTGAATAATCTATGGGAGTTTGTATAAATCAATGCAGAAATTCTGTTTATACTCATGAAGAAAATAAGCAAAAGGAATATAAGTACTTCTGTAGCAATCAGTTTATTATATTGGGAGAATTCTTATGAAAGTGCCTAATGTCTGCCTTGATGATACTAGGGTCAGTGAAGTATAAATGTGGATGATGCATGCCTTCAGGGTCTTCATAGTCTAGTGAGAGCGACATTAGGTAAAACATTAAAGTTACACCAGAGTGGAGCAAAATCTGCTTGACAGTATGCACAGGTTTCTGAGGATAATGATGACAAGAATAATCTGATTGAGGGGACTGTAAAGGAGAAACACTGAATGTTTTTATATCAGCTGTTATGGTGAAAATCCTTCTTCTAAAACCTTTACCACTTCTGGACTGATACATGAGCCTTTTAGGCTCTCTCTAGTGATACTATGTATTCTCATATGTATCCTCTTTGCTTTCCTAGTTTTTAAGCTTTCTCTACACTAGAGCTGACTAGTTCATTGTCTATGAACTAGAAGTCCTAGCTGCTTCTCATTTTGTTTCATGGCCATGTGTAGGATACTTCTTTTTGCTTCTGTTTTATTTTTTTAAATGATGTTTCGATAGTATAGAGTTAAGTGAGCCAGTAATATACAGGAAATATTTATTAATGTTATCTAGCACACAATAAGACTCCATGAAAGGATTCGGTTATTGTTAGTTTAGGTGCCTGATAACTCTACCACATTGAAACACACTCACCAGACTGATGATTTAGATTCTCTTTCTAGAATACAAACTACTCTCAAATAAAATTTTCTGTTTCTTTTCCCTTCTCTTTCTAGCTCCGAGAGGAAAACGAGGATGGAAAACCTTTTATGCTGTCCTGAAGGGAACCATTCTTTATTTGCAAAAGGTAAAATGAATATAAAGTCCACAGAACTTTATGAACTAGTAATTTTTAAAGGTACCAAAGAAAGGGTGTGTGCTGTAGAGTCAGAACCGATTCATAACTGACCATCTGGCGGGTTTTCAAAGGTAGTAAATTGCATAAGAGGAGATTGCCGGTCCTTCTCCCACTGAGCTGCTGGATTTGAACTGTGATTCTTTGGGATTGCAGTTCAGATTCTTATCACTAGGCCTTCAGAGCTCCCTTTATCATGTATAAAGATATAAAAACCTAAAAGACCATTATATTGATGTTTAAGTTCTGCTTTAGATTAATTATTTTTCTTTTTCAATGGGGAAAACGCTACAAAATACATGATAGATATAAAATCTATGATCAGAAAAATGTGGATTATTTTCTAATGATGCCTAGAATTTTTGTATTGAACATCAATTCATTCGGTCTGCACAGGTACAGACCAGTGATGGTTACTGTTTTCAGTGGATCTTGCATGCTATAGAGTATGAGTTACATTTTTCATTTGTTATTTAACAGGATTCATTTAGGTCCAACATAAAACTAGATTTAGACCTTTTCTTTCAAGTTCTGGATTGTTTATAATGAGAAATACAAATTCCAGATTACCTAAATAAGATTATGGCCAGCCTATTCCCTATCAGGACCCTTTCTTCCAATCCTGGTACCTGGGAATCTGTTTAGGATCCGGTTTACCCTCTAAGTGATGGTCTGCAGAGCACCCACCACCAAGGGGAAGAAGTGTATTGACTGGAATGGCTAGTTATTGAAAATGTCATAATATATATATATATATAAAATTTGTGTCATGTTGTTATAATTGAGTGTTAATTTTATCACTAATTATTTTAATAAGCACTTCTTCATTCTTCAGAATTTGGTTTGGTTTGGGTAATGGTCATCATTCTGATGTCTAGCACCCTTATAATGGTTGTGCCCTTATGCTTTTTTCCCCTTCCTACTTTATAAGATTATGAAAGCAGTTTCTTTAAAAATGCTCATGGTATATTCCATTAATTAGGTTTGCTGTTGTTAAGTGCCATCGAGTCACAGGCGACTCATAACAACCCTATGAAGGAGAGTCCTGAACACTTGGGTGTCTTTCATCCTCTCTCCAGGTTCATAGGGTTTCCGGAGGCAAGCTATTACAGAAGTGGATGCCACTCCTCCTTCCAAGCTTGTTTTAATCGGGGAATTCCACCCCACTCTCTGTCCACATTGGGTACCACATTAATGCATTTGACACATCAGTGTCACAGTGTTCAGCCTCACAGCAACCACAAGTGACCGCTGTATGGCAAGTGGACATACCAGGGCTATAAGACCTAGGGGAATGTCTGAACAAAAACGGAAAAAAAAAGAAATAGGTTTAGTATAGTTTAACCTTTCCCTCATTTTTCAGACCTACTCTGTATGTGATATTTTGGCATGTTGCTAGGAGACGCTATTTATTGGAGAGGGACATCATTCCTGGGAAGGTGGAAGGACAGCAAAAGAAAGAATGACCTTCAACCAGATAGACTGACACAGTGACTGCTGCAATAGGCTCTAGTGTGTCAGGAGGTGTGAAGATGGCACAGGATAGGACAGAGTTCAGATCTGTGGTTCATGGAATCTCTATATACTCAACTTGACAGCACCTGACAACAACAGCTCTCTTTCAAATTATTTACCATTATAAATAACACTGCTTATGTTTTGGTGCTGTCAAATACATTTCTATGTATTCCCTTAAAATTAATACCTGGTAGTATCATGGGTTACATGGTAGAAACTATGTACCATCTGCGTCACCTATGTGTGTATGATCATAGGTGTAATTTCTTTCACCTGCTCTATCAGTTCATCTCGCCTGTCTGCCTCTAGTGACTTAAATTCGTGCAGTATATTTCTCGAAACTTTATAACAATTTCCAATCCCTATAAGCAGGTAGTGATAATATTTATCTCACTACAGTCTCTCCTTTCACAGCATTTTCATTATGTTAGCAACAAAGAATTCATTGCCATGGATTTAGAGCAGACTTCCAAGTTAGCCTGCAGTGAGTTTTCAAAGGCTATAAATGCATGGGAGGGGATTGCCCATCTTTCCCCCTTGGAACAGCTAGTGGATTCGAACTACATGTCTTTGAGTTGGTAGCACAGCTCCTTGTCCACTAGGACATGAGAGGTAGGTAGGAGCATTTAAGGAAGCTTTGTAAGGAACATTTTTATAATTCTTTTTTCTCTTTCTCATGACTTATTTTCATGTGTCTACATTGAAGAGGATTCTATCTAGCCCTTTTATTATCTCCCTTTTATAATAGTTCAGACTAGTAATATTGGAACTTGGGGCTTCATCATAGGGTAAATAGCCCTCATACAGTGAACTATAGACTTGCTTGAAACCAGGAGAGGTCACAGAAGATGATTCATGATATTCTTCTAAAGTGTACCCGTTATTTTATGGGACAAAAGAGAAAATGGGAACTGGAATTGTTATTAGATTATCTGTGCTTCTAGGTGCCAGATACCTTGCACTGACTTTATTTCCCTTTGGAGTCAGCCAGTTTCTAATTATTAGTCAGCCACTTTGGCCCCACTAAAGGGGCCTCTTGTGCCCACACTGGTCCTTTCAGTCAGCCTTGTCATTGCTAAGAACAGCCCTTTGAAATGAAATTTTGCCTGTCACAGTGGTTTCCCCTAGCATAAACCCCATTCTCTTAGCTTACTTTCTCATTTTCTCTAAAATATCTGGCTTTTTGTTTTGGTTTGGGGTTTTTTAAAAAATACACTGTCTTTGACAAAAGCATTTTACTGAATACTCATCCACAGGATTTCCACCCACTCCATCCCAGGGTGGGCATGGGAGTGAAGAAAAATACTCTGCATTCAGCATTTGTCAGTGAATCCAAGGAGAGGTGCGGTTTCTAAGTCCCCAGCTTTGTCTCTCTCATTGTTTTCTCCTTCTCAGGGATATATGCTTATATTTGACTCGTCCAGATATAGAAAAGAAGGAACTAAGAATTGATAATGGAATGACTTTAAAATTGGAAAGCATTCATAGCCATTGGATTGGAGCTCCAAAATTAGATTACATCTCCAGATGAATGATCCTTCTGAAGCATGGCAAATGTGTATTGAGGGACAGTTTAGTGAAACTCCCCCTTTAACGAGAAGAGCCTGGCACCGAGGAAATTATGCATTTGTGCGGCAGAGTGCAAAGTAGAGCTGTGGGTTATACATCAAGTTGATATTTTATTTAAGTCAATAAAAATGCCAACATGGCTGCAAAAGATCTACTTAGGAGGAGCATAAACCCACAGAGGCAGCCATGTTTTGTAACCAGTTTCTTCTTATTTTTATTAATGCTTTTCAGAAATGAGTAAACTGAAAAAAATGTGACAAATAATCAAAATATCAGCTATCAGCCATTCTCTATACCCCAGAAACCTCACACAGACACAAAAGACTAGCTCTTTTTATAATCGTGGCAGGTTTGAGTCAGTAAAAAAAAAATCTATCCTTATATTCTTATTCTTGTAGAAAATACCCTATGTATTCTACAATCCTGACCTGATTGTTTAATGAGTTTTCTTCCAATCTATAAAACTTTGAAAGAAGAACAGAACGAGAGGCAATTAATTATTACTGCTGTGTCCCGTCAAGTTGAAACAGAATCATAGCTCATGCTCCAGCAGGTTTTCAAAGACATTTAATCATACGGGAAGAGATTGCCCATCTTTCTTCCATGGAGCAGCTGGTGGATTCAAACCATGATCCTTCAGGATTGAAGTACAGCTTCTTACCACTTAGGCACCATATAACATACTGGACTGTTAACCAAAAGTCAGCTGTTTGAATCCACCAGTCATTCTGCAGGAGAAAACTAGACAGCCTTCTCCCATAAAGACTTACAGCCCTGGAAGCACAAAGAGTTGGAGTTTTTGCACTGACAGTGTGTTTGACCAACAAACTGTGGCTAACAGTGCTGCTGATTATGGTGGAGGTGTTGTGTACCATCGAGTTGGAACCAACCCATAGCTGACCATCTAGTGGATTTTCAGGGGCAGTTAATTGCATTGGAGGAGGCTGCCCGTCCTTTTTCTATGGAGCAGCTGGTGGATTCAAACCATGTGCCTTTGGGATTGCATCACAGCTTCTTGCCACTAGGCCACCAGTGCTCCCTGGTGACACAGAATTACAAAGACACAGAAAAGGCACAATAAATTGAGGGCTTCGGGCATATCTGTAAAGATCAGTGAGTGCTTTCCTGCAAAAAAACCACATTTTCAACTTAATGATGTAGAAGGTATAAAAAGTAGATGGTCACGGTACCAAAAAGAACTGATCATTGATAAACGTGAAACCTTTTCAGGAAGCAGCATATGATTAAGAACAAACAATACTGAAGGGAAAAGTCCACACTTAACTGAAGGCGTTGGCAAGAAATAAGGCCTTGGAAATTGATGGAATATCAAGTGAGGTGTTTCAGGAAATAGATGCAACCCTGGTCATGCACCCAGAAAAGATGGCTCCCTGTCCAACTGACTAGAAAATACCCATATTTGTTCATGTTCCCAAGAAGAGTGATCCAACAAAATGTGGAAATTGTTGAACAGTATTAATGTCGCATGCCAGTAAAATCTTCCTAATGGTTATTCAGAGAAGACTAGAACAGTATATTGACAGGGAAGCTCAAGCTGGATTTGGAAAAAAAGTGGCACCAGGGATATCATTACTGCTGTCATGTGGATATTGGCTGAAAGCAAAGAATACCAGAAAGTTGTTTATATGTGTTTTATTGACTACATAAAGGCATTTGATTGTGTGGATCATGACAAATTTTGGCTGACATTGAGAGGAATGTGATTCCTAGAGCATTAATTGTTCTCATGCAAAACCTCTTCATAGGCAAAGACATTGTCTGACAGAAGAAGGGAATATTTCATGGTTTAAAATCAGGAAAGGTTTGCTTCAGGTCTGTATCCTTTCTCCACTCTATTCAATTTG